AATAAAAAGTAAAATTAGATGGTCATACTAGTTATGTATAATCAGTATGTTTCTCACCAGATGGAACTACTTTAGCTTCAGGTAGTAGTGATATGTCAATCCGTTTATGGGATGTTAAAACAGGATAATAAAAAGCAAAATTAGATGGTCATACTAGTTATGTATAATCAGTATGTTTCTCACCAGATGGAACTACTTTAACTTCAGGAAGTAGTGATATGTCAATCCGTTTATGGGATGTTAAAACAGGATAATAAAAAGCAAAATTAGATGGTCATACTAGTTATGTATAATCAGTATGTTTCTCACCAGATGGAACTACTTTAGCTTCAGGTAGTGCTGATAAGTCAATCCGTTTATGGGATGTTAAAACAGGATAATAAAAAGCATAATTTGATGGTCATAGTTATTGTGTACGATCAGTATGTTTCTCACCAGATGGAACTACTTTAGCTTCAGGTAGTAGTGATAAGTCAATCCGTTTATGGGATGTAAAAACAGGATAATTAAAAGCCAAATTAGATGGTCATAGTGCCTTAATGGATTCAGGTGCTGCAAATTAATTTGAGTGCATATAATACATAAGTAGGATTGCTTTCTAATTAAATAACTGATCTTTAAAATTAATTAGCAATTAAAAATATAGAATTAACAGAAATTATAGAGAAATACACAATATTGGATAAAAGTCTTCTACCAGAAACATTAGTATCTAGAGCTGCATACAATAGTAGAATAGGAATTCCAGCTGAATTATTATCTAATAAGTCTATCCATGATGCTACTCTTAAGTCATAACTTAGAAATAGTCCAATTTAAAGATATTGAAATTATAATATTACTAGATAAATCTATTTTCTATTATTTAAATGATTAGCTATAATCAAGAAGAATTATTAAAAAGTCAATATAATTTATATAAAAATATTCTCATACAATTTGATTCACACTTTTGATTATTAGACAGCTTATTAATCTGAAAATGATAGCCTACTAAAAATTAGAAGATAGATTATGCAATCAACTAGAATATCAGTGATTTTCAATTATATCCCTAATTTTAATAACTTGTCAGCTACAAAATTATTGTTGATTAATAAAAGCATAATCAGACTAAGAAGACTAAAAAATACAAGTATTGTTTTAATTTGATTTTATAGAAACGATGATTAAAAAGAATTGCTTCCTAAAACTAAATCATCATAAGAAGAACCGTGTAAACAAGAATTGTATTATAAACTATAACATTTTAGTATAAAACCATTAGTTTAACCCTAATAAATAAATAAATAAAAGAGAATAATTTGTTACCAAAATTACAATCAGATATTGTAAAGATGGTTCACCTCTTGGTTCAAAATAAACTTTAAAATATAGTAAACATCATCAAACAAAAAAATCAAAAAAAGAGCATATAAATACAGGTGATTGGTCAGCAGTTGAACATAATACTTATGTAAATTTCTTGCTTCAATATGAAAATATTATGAATTCGTCAAAACATCAAAAATATTTAAATAAATGAGTGAATTAAATTGGTTCAAGAACTCCAAGTTAATGTAAAAGTCATCATCAAAAATTTAGAAAAAATAATTGATTGAATTGGCTAAAGATGGTATTCTTATTTCAATAATATAAATGATATAGAATAATTAATTGAATAAGATCCTTCAAATATGATGATTGATAAATAATTTTATTATCATCCATATATTGCTAATGGAATTGATTTAAAGTCATTCCTTATTGATACAAATCTCAAAAGAGAAGATGTGCTAGAATATTTTCACCCAGGCTAATTTTAAGATTATGAAGATTATCTAAAAATTACACCAGATAATAATAATTAGTTAGATTATTGATTATAATTATCTTTAATTATTTAATGATTGCAGAGCACTGTTAATAACTATTAGAGCTTTACATTCTAGAATATAGTGATCCTGATTAAATTTATGTTCATGATGATAAACCAGTGTATAAGAATTTAAACTAAAGAAAATACCAGTTTTTGATAGACACACTACACAACATGTCTAATCTATCTTATTGATACGTAAATCAATCAAACTACAAGATATTTCATCTTAATAAGTAATTGATATCAAAAAAGAACATGGTTTATCTGAAACATATGATCCAAAATCATAACTCTTAGTTATTGATAGAGATAAATCTGATGATAAATATCGATTAGAGGAAATGAAGAAAAAAATAGATAAAAGAAATGTTAAACCTAGAGATCTAAATTTACCTTATAACGAATACATACATCCTGCAAGATAAATTTAAGTTAAATTATTATTATCAAAAAAACCATTAAAAGATTATTAAGTTTATGATGCTGATGGCAGCATTATTAGAAAGAGAGAATAAGTCAAATAATTAAGTTCAATAGTCAATGCAGTGAAAAGTAAATTATAAGGAAGAGTTGAAAAAAAAAATCAGAAGCTGTTGCTGAAGAAAAATATTATAAACTAATAAGCATTGTTTAAATTAAAAGTTTAAAAAAAAGTCATAACATAATGTGATGAACCCTATAATTTTGAAGTTTTTCCTTTGAAACAAGGATTTAAATTAACATTTACTAAAAAAAAAAAGAAAAAAGAGGAAGAAAAAGTTAATAATGAAGAAGAAGATTTAATTGATGCCGACACCATTAACTCTAATAATTTATTAGAAAACCAAGTTATACCACACACACACACACTTCCTTTATTTAAATTACCAAAAAAAAAACAGAATTTAAGTCATGAAGTAATATTATAAAAATTACCATTTCAGAATTTTAATTTTTTTTATTAAAAATAATTTATCCAGTTATGCTTTTATTTTATTGAAGATAGTTTAGGAATATTATCAGATTTTACTTAATTGTCATAATATTAATTATTAGACAAATATTCTAGTTCTTTTTAGCTGAGTATTTATTATTTCAACATAAAATATAAAAATCTGTCTTATCTTTAGAAGAATGATAAAAATATCAATCTAATATGAAATTCAAGAAATCACAAATAATATTTATTTTTAAGACTTTTTTTCTATAATAATACTATTAAATTGATTTGAAACAGCTTATACCTAAGAGTCTATTTCAATTTAAGAGAATTCATCTTTCTGAGTATTTTTCTTTTATTTTGATTATATATATCTATTATATATATACTATAGATTAATTACATGCTCTGGTAATTATAAATTGTAAAAAAAAGAAAAGAATTAAAGTATAAAATTTTATTAATAAATTAAAATGAAAATATTATAAAAAAAAACAATTAAAGTAAAAATTTTTTACCTATTTTAATTAAGATTAATTGATAAATGATCATACTTATTTAATTAGATTTATAAATATAATTTATGTAATAAGTGAGGGAGAGGATATATAATGTTATATTTAAGATTATATTGTTTTGATATTATGTTTATACTTTTCAAACAATCTAATATGCTTAACTGAGTATACCACAGGTATTATTTGGAGATAACTTAATAGTTCCATTTTCTCCCCATCCATAGCCCCAAGAATTCTAAACAATCCAATTGTATCCAAAATCGAATCCTACTGCCAAAGCATAATGATTCACAGTTTATCCACAATCAAAAAAGGTACCATTTTTATAGAATTACCAATTTGATGCATCAACACCAACAGAGACTGGATAATTTTATAAATAATGTTGTAAAGTTGATTGTTAATTACCTACGAACTAATAATTGTTAATTCTAAATTCTCCACTATTGTATCTGCATCCTTCTTATTAGCCAACATAAGGATAATAGACACCACTCATTAATCCAGTTTATTAAACATAATGCATAGCATTATAATTATATCCTCCATAACA